TAGGCCAAAACGATTTGGATAAATGAAGCAACTGATGTTACATAATGAATAATTATTTTGCCAGGTTTAGGTCTTGCCGTTTCCACCCCTACAGTATTATAAAACAATGGAGATCTGATTCAGACTAGAGAGTTTGTTGTGCGATCAGATGTGTTTGTGGTCTGGGACCATCACCATAACAATTTAGAAAATCTGCATGTGAAGATCTGTTGCCAATATTGAGAGGCTTATGCCAGAATACGGTAGTAAAACATTTTTACTGACTTGAGTTATTTTTGATATAGCCTGATAGAATGGTTATGGTAAAATTCAGCAAAGTCAGCGTGGGAAGTGAAGGCCTAAAAGACTTGAGTCCAGTCCAGAGGATGCAGTGTGCTATAGCACTGTACACAGACATGTCTTTTAGTGTTGATCAAAATTAAATGCATCATTTAATCAGGGGGTTTCATCAAAGGCAGGAAAAGTGTGAAAATAAATCTATACCAGCACTGTAATTACAGATTTACATGCGAGGATAAGCATGTGAAAAACAGAGAGAAACAGATAAATGTTTTCTATTCTAGACTGAACCATTTTGTGAAAACTGTAAAAGTCAGTAAAATCTAATTTAATGGTGTTTTATCAAAGCAGCAGAGTAGTGCTACCACTTATGTGTGTCCTTCTATGCAACAGCATTATTTTAATTCACTTCATACTTATGAACCATATAGAGTGCAATAACTGCTTTACACCAAACCAGTCAAAATTGTATTAAATATTTCAGGTCTTCAATCTGACATTTAAAACCCAAAACAAAATGGGCAAAAAAAGGAACAAGAAAAAGGGTTGGCAGTATAACAGTATGTTTGAAATACTAAGAAACTTGAGACCATTTTGAGCTTTAATATCTGGTGGATGTTAGAATCAGCATTTTGAAAATATGTTCTATTCTGTTACACCTTCAATTTTTCAAATAATGTTCTACCATTCAGTGGAAAGGTCCTTTAATGGTCAACGTTTATTTTCAAAGACGGAATATTGACATTGATGCATAGTCTATTCATTATAAACTGTTGTCTGTATGATCAATGTAATGTTATTTTGCTGTACATTTAATTAAATATATCAGTATTGATTTTTGCTTTTCACCGTAAATAATCAAAAGAAAAGAATATCAGATTGACTGCACTTTAACTGCAGAAAATACATATTTTTTGGACAATGAAAGGGTTAAGAAGGAAAATATTTCTCTGATTCAGATCTTCAGGCAGGGAGCTCAGAGCTGAGAGGCCTCGAAAGAAGAAGCAGCGTCTCTTTGGAACACGTTGAGCCAGGATCAGCAGCAGAGCGCTGCCTAAGGATCCGATGGCTGGAGGAGGAGACACTCCCATGATTGTTACTCTCAGAGAGCCGCTTCAAACACTTCCTTCCTTCCATTTGCTTCAGGTTGTTTGATTTTAATTTGTTTCCCTAATTTTGTTAAATTTGCTTAAGCAGTATGCACTACTTCTGCACAATTTGGGAAAGAATAACTTAGTGGGATAATTTTCGACTGATATCGCAATTGATTAATAAAATATTGGACTAAATGATCATTGTGCAACAATATTGTCATCAGAATTAAAAAATAATAGGGGGCATTTTTAATTTTTGGGGGGTTCTCGCTTCTCTGTAGTGTGTTTGAATAGGTTTATGTGCATGTGATGTGAATGATCTTCAAAGGCTAAAATCATTGTGTTCCCTCCAGAGGAAGTTTCTCCTCCCCTGCCTGAACCGCCTCCAACACATTGCACATTAAGGAGCTGGACATCTCTAAGCGGTTGACCAATCACATCAGAGCGGTCAGTATTTTTCGCATACAGACAGTATGAAAAAAATCAAGGTTTTTTTTAACATTAAAGCATGGAAACCGTAAAAACACTAAACACTAATATGAACCTGAAAACAAGCATTATAAGTCCTTTTTAAGAAGATCTGAATCTCTGATCTCTGCAGCTTCACTTTTAAAACTGTATTTTAAGACATATTTATCCTTTTACATTAATTGTGCTTCCTGCGATTTTAAAATGGCACTTGTCCATATTGCGATTAAGTTAGTATTTCTATTAATTGAGCAACCATATACATCGATTAAAATGTTGTAATTAGAGTGAGTAGTGAGCCTGGACGCTAAGCGTTGTTTGATGGAGCTAAATAGTTTAAGTAACATCTGTTTTCTTATTTGACTCATTGGATGCAGTTCCTCTTTGGTCAGAGGACAGGGTTATCCATCATATTCTGCACCAGTAGTATCACTGACTAGCTTTCTTTACTGAATCACTCTACAGTACTTTTCTCTCGCGGAAATGTGAGCTCGCTGTTCATGGGTAAGTGCTCCCACTCCACTCTGGATATAATTCACCTGACTTCACACACAGATGATAGGAGCGTACACACACCCCTTTTCACTCTGCTCTTTGCCCCTGTTAGTCTTCAAACTGGTTAAAAATAAAATGAATGACTTCTGTCTGTTTGTGTAGCAGTTTTAATAAAGCACAGACCATCCAAAGCAATCAAAATTCCAGGAAATGAAATCTCTGTCCAAGACTGGAATCAATGATGTGGTGAAAGACAGATATGAGTCACTAAACTCAACGGCCATGTCATGACCTCAGCCAGCTGTGCGATTTATTGCCAGATGCATTGGGAAAATAAGTATTTACTTAACCCTCCTGTTGTGTTCGTTTCCCCCCCCCCCCCCCTTACTTTGGTGTTCACGGTCAAATTTGACCGGTCCTGTTTTAACTGCTATTACATGAACACAAAAAACATGAATCATCACCAAATTTCATTTAACACCCTTTCAAACTGTACATATTGTATCAGACTACTGGTATACATGAAAAACTGTTTTATCTGATCCGGATGGTTACTAATTCCATTTCTTTATGGCGGTCATTTTTGACCGGGAACACCATGGGTGTTACAAAGTTGACTAAATCATCCAAAATTCAATGAAAGTGGTAATCAGCAATAAGTTGAATAAAATGAAAGTATAATACTGGAGGGAATTAGCTACATGCCATGCGCAGCTTACTTCCTGGTTTTAGGACGCGTCACTGCACCTCTCTCGTCTCCTCTTCACACACCACACTTTTCGCGGCACACGTACTTACAGCCAATCAGCTCTGAATTATGTGAGATGACGTATGGTGGGGATGGCAGCTCAGTGCCCCTATGGTCATTATTTTTTTGCCACACACATTAAATAGGAAAATACTCTGAGCATGCGCAGTGTAGTTTTTACAGTCACCATTCAGTTAGACAGTGAGAGGGAGGGGCATGATCAGGTTTTGTCCCACATGGCTCTAAACAGCTCAATAGGCACACACTGTGACTGTAGACACTAATTAGAAGAACACAGACTAAAACAGCAATGTACAGACGAATCAGATGATTAAACATGATCTTAAAATATATATATATATATATTTATTTATTTTTTGCATTTTTTGTAATCATTATTTGTAATACTTTCTGCTGACACTGTGTGTCACTGCTGTGCCCCACCTGCCCCTAATGACCAGTCGCCACTGGTAACAGCAGAGCATGGGAAATAAGCTTAACAACAAATGATTAGGTATGTCTATGATACTGATGTGTTTGAGCGCTTTGGATAAAAACCGCAGCTAAATGAAATTGTTTATCTGTCTTAAATCCTAGGAGAACTGATGGTAGCTATAAAAGTCCAAACAACTATATAATATGTAAATCCACATGATGAGGACCGACTCATCAACAATACCTAGAAATAAACGGGCATGTGTCTATTGCCTCTAGGTAAACTATAGGTCAAATGCGTGATAAGGGTCAGCTGCAGTACACTGTGTCTAGGGTACACATGGTCCTTTGTGGAAGTCAGTCAACATATGATTGAGGGCATCATTTTCAAATAAATGGTCAAACCAAACACTAAAACTCAAATGCTCTTTAAAACCGATTGTAGCCAAACATGGCTTTAGGTCCATTCGGAGTGTATTCTGTGGAGTCATATCTGGTCTATTCATGAAATCACCCAATAAATTCAACAAGCTTTTTCTCTCACAAGAAAACTACATTTGACCTGGCAAGCAAAGCTGGCGTGTATTAGAAGACAGAGAACACATTCCAGAGACATTTCTTTCATGGGAGCCATTTAGTTATTAAAAATTATAATCACCAAACACTGAAAGGTATTTTATGTTTGATGAAGGCCAAATTAAATAATTGTTGAAAGTAACTTTATAGATGTTATGTTTAACTGAAAGATAAAATTGATAAAGCACATCGTTAAAATGGCTTTGAGAATAACTCAAACTAAAGGAACATCTAAGTGGAAAATGTATTTCATCCAGTAATCATATGAAAGAACTTCATTTAGTAATATAAAAAATAAAAATATATAATGTATTGGGGGCATATGCATCTAAACTGCAAAGATTGGAACTAGCAAGACAACAAATATGTGTTTTCAAAATGCAGCAGAACTTAGTTGGCAATATATTTAATAAAAGCAACCTGATAATGTCATAAAATACCTCTGCTGTCGGTGCAGTAGAAAACATGATTCCCCTAGCCCCCCTGCTGTTACATTTGACATTTGGTTGTTAAATTAAACAAAAAAATTGAAGACCTTAAATATCTGTCAGGAAGAAATAAAATAAGAATGCACGAGGAGAGACTACATTATTTTTAATTTGTGCTAAAGTTGGGTTAAGATGATGATAGAGTAAATATTCTATTTTGTTATAATGTATGTAGGGATTACTTAACAGGAGACACTCAAGATGCCCATGTCTGGGATCAGATTAAGGTCACACATACGGTTCACATTGGACACCTGCATGAATGAATTAAGATCAGAGTGCAATATGTTCTAGAAGTCAGAGAAACTCACCCGTCTCTGCTCCATTAATAATGGCATAAAGTCACACTTAATAAGAAAGACAATGTAATATAAACCTATTAATATCGTCTTTTTTATGTTCATTGTTATAGCTCACCTTGTGTCATTGTAGGCGACATCCAGCCACTCACCGACTTCCGGCTTCATGTAGTTGGAGTTGGGATACGGCGGCCTCATCATCCCGCCCGGTTGCCACTGCTCGGGTGTTGGCTCCGGACGCACGGCGCTCCTGTCGTATGGATGACATATGAACGCGGTGTTGGCCCCTGTGCTGTGCGCGTTCATGCACGGCCTGGAGCCCCAACACTGCGAGTTGTACTTCTCATTAAAAGTGTAATTACTGTCCCACAGAGCCCGGCCAACTTCCCCGTCCTCACATTTCACTTTGACGCTGTATTGGTCTGGCTGATAACCCCCGAACTTGTTCTCCATAGCTTCCCCGAAGTCTCTCTCCTCGTCGGGGGGCTTGTAGCCTCGGCACGGTCGCTCCACGGCTGCGTGTCCGAAGTGTGCCAAGTTGTTTGGCGCAGTTGTGGCATAAGGACAAGAGGCTGCACTCATCGTGTCCAGATGATCTATCTCCTCTGAAGTAATGCCATCAGCCTCGCACAGCACGAAGTGTGGCTCCTCCGCAGATGTCCGAGTGGAGGTGAGGTGTTGCAGGCGCGAGTCAGTCTCCGAACTTTTGAACATTTCCACCAGTTGCTTCTGGCCGTGCAGAGAGTGCCGGTCATGGCGCGCGTACTCCGCCACTGCCCCCTGAGCTCCGGGACAGTTCAGAGGCAGGGATCCGAACAAATACTCTCCTCGCATTTGGTCATGGAGAGCAGCGTCCATGTCTCCTGTGTCAGCGGACTCCATGGCCAGTCCCAGAGAAACGGACACAGCTTTGCACAGCTCCCTGGCTGTTTCTGAGATTGTGGCGCAGGCAGAAGAGGTGCTGTCATCCACACGGCTGTCTGCGTCTGACCGCTCCTCCCGAGGAGCAGCAGCTGTCTGACGGAACTGCTCCATGTCACAGGCCGCTAGCGGATTAACGTGTCCGGAGCCGTACATGTTAGCGTCTGCATTGTCGGCTTCTTCCAGGCTGCCCAGATCGTTTCCTGTTGAGTTTGTAGTTACATACCCCCGACTTTCTTCAGTTTGTAGCGCCATGCTGGGTGCGCTCACCGCCCGTGTGTGTTCTATCCACCCCAAGTGATGTGCAAACTGTCCGTTAGTTTGGCTAATTTCCCTTAAAGTGTGTACTCTTCCAACAGACTGGACTTTGAACGACAAATGTCTCTGCAACTATCACCTTGTGAAAAACACGTTTTGGTGAAAGGTCCCAGGGGAGCTACAGGAGTCACTAACTCCTCCTGAAGTGAGATCCTCGTAGTCAGAGGCGCTCACAGCAGATTTGATAAGAGGCGAGCAGGGCGTTGATTCATTCATTTGTCAAATGTAAGATTCTTAGATGCTTCAGCCAACGAGAGATGTGCTTCCCATAGCTGTATATATAAAGGTGCTTCCACGTTGACTATTTACGTGTTGTCTGTATGCTGCAACAAACTCACTAAACTACGGTGGCCATGAGGGACCAACGCGCTAGAAACAATTATATTAGCACGCAGGCAAAACAAGCACATGATGAACACATTGACCTAAAGTATCTCAATCAGTTGCAATTCTACAAATAACAATTCAACTTTAAATGAAAAAGATACATAGATCAATATAAACCAAAGCAAATGATGGGGTGAACATAAATAAAATAAAATAGCTTAGGGCCAAACAAGTAACCAAACATGTTAGGGTCCTTATATAAAGTTTCACAAATGTTTATCTTGGAGACATGGTTTTACTTGTAAATTCTATACATTTATGAATGTGTATAGTACCCAGGAGTAAATTAAACTAACTAGACCTCACAGTGATACAGATTTAAACAACACCAAACAGAACCTTTAAAACAAGTGTTATATAAAAAAAATATTATTATTTTTAGAACTTCTTAAGTTATGACAGAGTGCATGCACACCCACACTCACACTGTATTTGGGCAATTATGTGATAAGTAAAATGTATGCTGCTTTAGGTTGTTATTCTGCTGATGTACTGGATGTTAACGGACATGGTGAATCGATAAACGCAGAGCCGGCCCGACCCATTAAGCGAGATAAGCGGCCGCTTAGGGCCCCGCAGCCACTAAGGGCCCCCTAGCAAAAAATAAATGAAAATAAATAATCTCAGTACACCATCGCCGTGATAAGTATGTTTAATTAATGTTGTTAATATGCCTAGATTGCCTACTCTCAAAGTCATGTATTATATGTGACCCGCTCTATCGAAATCAGTCGGAAGTCGCAACAGCTCATTTCAAAATAAACGTGGATTTGTGTAAAAAAATAGTTTTTCGGGGTTCGGGTGTTTTATTTTTATTTTAAACAAACAAAGTCTTGGCTTTCAGAATATGAAACTTTTATTTCCAAAATCACACGATAAATACATACCTGCCAACCCTACCGATATGGGCGGTAGTCTACCGCTTTTGACATGTTTCTACCGCCTACTGACTTAGCTGACTTTCCCTACCGATTTTCAATCTTCCCAAACTATAACAAATAAAAATGACACTACATAGACACTGGACTCAACTTTTGGCGGACACCGTTTAAAGTGTGTCTGCGATCCCATCATACAAACAGTCCTGTGTTTCTGAAAGAGAAACAACGTGCAGACCGGGGGTAATCACTCCCAAATGAGTTTAAGGGAACAGAGACGAAGCATTTGAGTCCTGCAGGGTTTTCCCGTTAATATCAGTGTCTCGAAAACACATGTTGGCGACTGAAAGACATCCAGTGTTTAGTCTTTTCCTGAAGCATCCTTCACCTACAGTGTCTCAACTGAAAGAGGACCACAAACACACAAAAAATATAATACAATTTTGAGATTTGGGGATATTTATCTCCCATTCTTTCACTTTTTCTGACATTTTCAACACCAAACATGTCATTAATGTCTCTGTTTAGTGAACTACAGCAATCTGAAAGCCTGTACATTATTTATATCACACTTTATCAATAGAACATGCAGGAAATGACTTTTTTAATGCAGTATTTTCTGATTTATGGCGCAACACAAAGATATTTCGCTCTGTGCAAACCTTTGACTCTAATATGTCAACAACATGAAACAAGAATATGAACCTGGCTTTATCCAATGTTCACACAAGAGTTCTACATCCTGACACATCCTTCATCTACACTGTCTCAACTGAAAGAGGACCAGAAACACATTACAAATATAATAAAATGTGGAGACTTTGGGATATTTATCTCCCATTCTTTTACTTTTCGGGCATTTTACAGACCAAACATGTCGTTGATGTCACTGTTTACCAAACTACCACTTTTTCTGAAAAATGCATAAAATGATGCAATATATGTTAAATACATGGCTTATACATGTAATTACTGGGGTTCCATTTCCACTACCACTACCATACCACTTTTTCTGAAAAATGCATAAAAAGATGCAATATATGTTAAATACGGAAGAGGGGGGAGAAAAAGAGATCTCCGTCCTCGTGTTTTATTATATAGAGTCGTTATTCATTTGTTTTAAAGCTCAATAAATAACAAAGAAGACCTTTGACCGGCACTTTTCTAATTTTGTCCGGAAGATTTAAACTTTAACGGACATCTTGACCTGCGAAACAAACTGAAACTGAAACTCTGCCGCATGGTCCCCTCGTTCCTTGGAAGAGGCGGAGAGGTGGGTGTTTGTCATCTGCTGGTGGACTAACCGGAGAGAATTACAGTGCTTGCCTCGACGGGGAGGGATTGCATTGCAGCGGGAGCAAACGCTTGCCTCGGGGAGGGAGAAAGAAAGCCACAGCGGAGAATAAACAGAAGGGTAACCATGGTAACCAAGTCTTCTTCGCTGCTTTTGTGGCAGACTACAGCACCACTTACAGGCCTGGCATATGTACTACAGCGTCTCCAGCGCTTTCGAACGGCAATGGCAGTGGCTGTCTCCTCCTGATTGGTGGAGTTGGCCCAATAGCCGTAGCGCCACCGTCCTGACGTCAGGACAGTGTTCAAATCTGGATCAGTTTTTATCAGATCCGTTGCAGCCCCTTTTTTAGAGATTTGGGTATGGAGGAAAATAGAGAGGGTTGTGTTTTCTGACACTTGGTGAGTTCCCTGGAACACCGGGGACACATATTCATGTATAAAAGACGTACAAAAGTGCATTTTGCATGATAGGTCCCCTTAAACGTCACAGCAGGCATAACAACAGCCGGTGTTTCTCGTGAGTGTTTTCCCCGGGAAACAAACACAATACACACAGACCCCCATGTTAAAATGCCCAATTTTACAGCCTAAAAAAACATGTTTCTACCCATGGATCCAATAAATATTATTATAGATATAGTTAGATTCCACCTTCATGATTATGGATCTGTGAGTAAATTGTTTTCTAACATGACCCTTTTATTTATATTAGGTCTTAAAGTTTTTTGCATAAATTAGGGCGTGGTCACATTGAGTGACAGCTCTGTCAAGTGACTGCTGCTGTTAGCTTCTTGTCTCTCTGCTAGCTGCTCCGTCTCCGTGAAGCTACAGGGACTCTGCCTGCTCAGTTCATCCAGGGAACACAACTTGACCCCGGCCGTGTTTGTTTGTTCTTCATGCTTATATATCGGACTATTGTGACTCGCTCTGCGGTTAAAACAGACGGTGCATGAATGCGGTTTTGCGGTAAGTGAAATTCGAGTACTTTATTTATGTGTTTATGATTTTAATCAGCTACGTAATGAATGTTAAGGCTTGGGTTAGCGTGTAAGCGAGTGGTACCTACATCAGTGCTAACGATGCTAATCGTATCCTCCAAGTTAACTTAAAACCATAGACTGTATATATAAAGGTTAAAATGAAATAGACAAGTGTTAAGCGTTAAGTGAGATAGTACTGTAGAACAAAAGGCTTCTGTTTGAGGTTGATAAAATAAGGTCATCCTTGTAACTTAGAGAGATATTTTATTATGTAGGTAGGAACTGTATGCATCGCTAAGGTTAATTTAAATTGGCTATGCTCAAGTATGTAGACAAGCTAACGTCGAAGTAGTGTATGTGAAATCAACCTCACAATAAGATGTGTGTATATTACAATTATTAATGTCATATTTCAAGATGATTACTTAGATATTACAATATGGTTGGTTGAGCTGGAGTTCATTATTGAGCTTACACGTTAACGTCACAGTCATCTGAAGAACGAACCCAAACCTTGTTGTTTTTATTAATTGCATTACCAAATTGGTATCAAATAAACAGTAAGCATTGGTAACACAACTTCCAAAGTTACAGTAAAATAAAAAGGACCCTGACTCGGACAATACACAATCCAACATGTTCAACAGAAGAGAATAAGTTATAATGTTTGTACACATGGTTCTTTACATATATATCTGTTTGTTTAAAGTTTCCAGGTGATGCAGACAGGCTGGACCAGAGAGTGAGAGACAGAACTGGACTCCTCACAGCAGTGAACTTCAGCACCAGTGGCGTTTTCTCCCGGAGGCCAAGGGAAGCCAGGCTTCCCCTGTTTTTTCGGATTGTAGTTATAATTTAAATAAATAAATAAAAACACTTTGTTTTGTTTCGATAATTCTCCTTTGCTGTGTGCCCACGTGATGCCCCTGCCAACCTGTGATTGGTCAGGGCCATGCCAAGGGAAGCCAGCTGTCTCTGGCTTCCCTTCAGAGGCGGCTGGCGATTTCACCTGAATAGATGAGATTGTTTATATTTTTTAGTTACTTTTGGACTACGGACTGAGCTAATTACAGAGACGAGGACTGTTGCTGCACTTGCCGTGTGTTAGAAAGGGAAGGGAAGAGAAGGTGGACTATCGCATGCAAATGTTTCTGTACATAATTGTTTTTGAATTCATCTGTTTCATACACGCCTACTGATACTTTGATGTGTACATAAAACTTTAAAGGTCTCCTGATTTACTTTGTGAATGAATGCTTCTTTTTTCATCATTACCGAATCTGCACTGCGCATTGAGCGGCTGGTATTGCATTTGGGGGGGGGGGGGGGGGGGGTGTGTCTGCATAAATTAATAAGAAAATGCTTAAATTAATAAAACGAGAGTTTCGGCTGGAGA